TCAAGGAGCACTTAGGATATTTCAAGAAAGCAAAGAGATACACAATTTACAGTAAGCAGGCAAATATCTGCAAGAGGAATCCATACACGGTACCTTGGGAGCCGTTTTCAGAATTATTATTTTTTTCTTTCGGCTTGAGGATCTGACCCATTAGCTTTTTGCAAAAACAAGATTGATTAACAATAGGCCCGTTCATTCAAAGGACTGCCAAGTAAATAAAGCAGGTAGATTTCTTAGAAGTATAGAGTCGGCTTGGCATCAAGCTAGAAGCTGGGAGACCCTGAGTTCTACTCCTGCCTTAGGCACAAAGCCAACTGGGTGACCTTGGATCAGCCCCTCTCTGTAGGAAGCTGGTAATGGTAAACCACTTCTGAAATCTTGCCCAGAAAATTTCAAGGACTACTTCAAGCAGTTTCCAGAGTCAACCCTGATTCAAAGGCACAAAGACTAAAAGACTTCTTAAAAAACATCTAATTTTCTTCTATTTCTTGGGGAATCCTACCACGATACCCTAACAAGCTCTTCTATCATTGAACATGTTTTTGTTCAATTGATGCTTGACAAATTAGGATCCTTTTTCACGGATTATACTTTCAAACTTTTGCCTCCACTTCTGATATATCATGCAAGAAACATTTTGTCATAAAAATATGAGATCTGCTATTTTTTTTATACAAGTGTGAATAATAGCTTATTGTTCTAGCAAGGTAATATGCAAAAATCACAATAAATATGACAGAGTAGCAGGACTATGAAGTTGCATTAATGAGTTACCATATTGCAGACCTTGGGAGATTCAGAAATAACGCAGCCTCGGAAATATCTGAGGAAGCTTTATTTAAATCTCAGAGGGTAGGGAGTACAGATCTAAAGAGAAGACAAATCTGCTTACAATTCCTTAGGAAAAGATGTTCCACAGAATTAATGTTAAAAGAATTTAATCAGAGAATTTAACCTTAGCTTGTCAGCATTATAGAAGCTACTGTTTTGGTTCAGACTAAACTCAATAATCGTATTTTAAATACCCGTTAAATAAGGTTAGTGGTTTGCAAAAGTCTAATTCTCGTGATAAGCATGATTTCTTAATTTTTATTTTACTGCACAGCAAAGGCTTTAGCATCCGTCGTTATCAGCCGAGGAGCCTGGAGTCTGCAATCTTAACACATCTGGAAGGTGCCAGCTTGGGAAACAATGCATTACAGAATTTACTGGCACTGTTCGCAAAGGAAGACTAAACAGGGATCATTTCCCTAGTGAACAGAGCAACACAGACATCAAGGCAGGAGATCACAGGTGATTCTGTAAATCTTACTTTCTTCAGAGCTTGAAAATAGCAAGAGGTGCGATCCCAGTCATTGAGTTCTCCAAACCGTGGCCGGGTCCATAGCAGGTGGGCCTGACACACACACACTGGCCTATTGGTGTGCTCAGAAGTCTTCGATTCTTCATTTCTAAAACCGCAGGATTGAATATTATCAGCAAAATGCCCCTTAGATCACCCATCGGCTCTTACTTGAGCCAAAATTATGGAACCAAGGGATGTTTACGGGATGCTCGGAATTTCTGGACCGTTGTCCAATGTTTCCTAACAATCCCCCAGCTTTCAGAGATCAAGAAAGTAGCGATAGTAATAGCGCTTAGACTTATATACCGCTTCGCAGTGCTTTATAGCCCAGAGTCAGCATATTTGCCCCCAACAATCTGGGTCCTCATTTCACCGACCTCAGAAGGATGAAAGGCTGAGTCAACCTTGAGCCGGTCAGGATCGAACTCCAGGCAGTGGGCAGAATTAGCCCACAATACTGCATTCTAACCATTGTGCATCATGGATGGATGAAGAAAGGGCAATAGCAATAGCACTTAGACTTATATACCACTTCATAGTGCGGTTATAGCCCTAAGTGGTTTACAGAGTCAGACCCCCAACAATCTGAGTCCTCATTTTACCGACCTCGGAAGGATGGAAGGCTGAGTCAACCTTGAGCTGGTCAGGATCAAACTCCAGGCAGTGGGCAGAATTAGCCTGCAATACTGCATTTTAACCACAGCACCACCACGGCTCTGCGGTGTGTGTTAGCCTTCCCAGCCTCACACACTTAATTTGATCAACCGCTCCTCTTTCCATTTCCCATCTTGAGTTACCTGCTTTTCTGAAGCTTATACCACACAGAGTAATCATCGTGAAAAGCCGTCAAGTCCACGCTCTGGCCTTGGGACAAAGGTTCCTCATTTGGAAGGAAATAGACACACTGCATCCAATGGTCTCTCCACTGAAAACAAGGGCATAAAAGAGCAATTTGAAAAGCGGAGCAAATTAAGTGTTGATGACTTCCGCTATGTCGCGGAAGGCTTTCGCTGGGGAACTGAGCAAAACAAAAACAAAAACAAAAAAAACATGGACTCTTTCGATAACCTGTCATTGGCAAGACCACTGCTTAGCATTCATTTTCCTGTTGCCGTTCTCCATTTGCTACAGAGGTGTCGTTATGGCAGGTGTCACCCATAAGCACACACTGTGTGTGTTAGAAGAGATGTAAGGCCCTGTGAAATGTGTGTTTCTTGTCCCTGGGTGGAAACACCAGCCTCATTCCAGCGCTCAAGTGCTGCTGCAGAGGTGTGTTTCCAGGACCCTGATAATGTTGTAAATATTGTTTAATTGCAGCAATCCAGAGCATGCCAACCTCGCCAGATCAGGTTAGCCAGGCAGATACTAAGGGAGACAGGTGATCCTGTGAGGAACTGGGCCCCAAGTCATGTAGGGGTTTATAGAGGGCAACCCAGCACCTTGAATTGTGCCCAGAAGCAAACTGGCAACCAGTGCAAAGCAGAGCTGTCAGATGCCCATCACTGCCCACCTGACTGAATTCTGCACCAGTTGAAGCTTCTGGGTGTTTTTCAAGGCAGCTCCACGTCGAGGGCAATACACAAGCTGGGAGATGACCAGGGCATTCATTACCTTTTGAAGGCCTCCCATTCCAGAAAACTGGCACATCAGGTAGAGCCGTGCAAAGGTCTTCCTAACCATAGCTGCCAGTTGCTCATCAAGCAGGAGCTGGGAGATCCCCAAAGTGCAACCCCATCTAAGGTCAAAGATAGAGTATCTCCGGATCTGGGCAGTTCGAACAAGCACAGCCGCTCGGCGTTGGTAGGACTGAGTCAGAGTTGGTCGCTCCCCATCCATATCCGCCCAACCCCCAGGCACTGGGACAGAAGCTCAACGACCTCACCTGGTCGGTCCAGAGTTGAAGGATGTAATTGGGTTTCATCAGCATGTCGATAATACCACAAACCCAAACTGGCAGATGACCCGACTCGCTGGTTTCATGCATCATCTTATCTTTATACCATGAAATTCTTGGTAAGGCAATGAACTGTGTAAAAGCTTACCGGGTTCTCTTCAAAAGGGCTTTGTACCCAATATGGAGCCAAGGAGCATTTTATGGACCCAGCAGGGTCCATGTCAATCTCCCACCAGGAGAGGACCACTTGGGCTTTGCCAGACTTGATGGGTTTCAGCTTCACGGTGTAGGAGGCAGAAGCTCTGCTGACCGGCTTACTGAAATCTATACTGTGGAAAGCAGTGAACTGACATCAGCTCCTTTTAAATGGCAGCTTTTCCCCTGAGTCAGGGGTAGGCAACCTTGGCTCTTTTATGACTCGTGGACTTCAACTCCCAGAATTCCTGAGCCAGCACAGCTGGCTCAGGAATTCTGGGAGTTGAAGTCCACGAGTCATAAAAGAGCCAAGGTTGCCTACCCCTGCCCTGGGTGATTAAACGTTAAGCAGCATTTGTTCATTATGTTAGCAGACACACAAAATCAGCTCACAAGATATATACAAGATATTGTATATCCTCTACTTACAACAGTTCATTTAGTGACTGTTCAAAGTTACCGCAGCCCTGAAAAAGGCGACTTATGACCCTTTTTCACGCTTATGACCGTTGCAGCATCCCCAGGGTCGTGGGATTTACATTTGGATGCTTCACGACCGGTCCACATTTATGACGGTCGCGGTGCCCTGAGATCCTGTGATCTCTTTTTTGCAACCTTCTTTTTTATATATATAAATATTTTATTAGATTTTATAAGGGGTGGGGAATAGGAATGGGATAGGGGTGGGAAGAAATACAATGGTGGGGTTGTCCCCCACAAAAAATTCACCGCTTTAGCAAGCAGACTATCGTCCGGGTACAAATATTGAATAACAATAATTAACATAATGCTAAACAATTATAATCAATAATAGTAAGAATAATCATAAAAATAAAGCTTAATCGATAAATATCATTCATCCTATTAAATTTCACAATCCTTTCTCGCTGTAGCGTGATGCTAACCATTGATAAAAAAATTTCCCATGTTTTAAAATAAACTAAATCTCCCTTCTCTTTAATCTCTAAAGTTAGTCTATCCATTTCTGCACATTCTAGGATTTTCATGATGATAATCTGGTCCGCTGGTAAGTTTTCATTTTTTTCCAAAATTGGGCAAATACAATTCTCGCAGCTGTCAATACATGCAATATTAAATATTCATTCTCTTTTCCATAATTAAGTCCTAATATTCCTAACAAAAATAGCTCTGGCTTAAATTCCATCTGTATTTTAGTCATCTTTTCTAGCCATATATGGATCTTGAACCGACATTTCTTTGCATTAGGACATATCCACCAGATGTGATAATAGGTACCTGCCTTTTGTTTACATTTCCAACAGATATTCAATACATTTTTAAACGTTTTCGCTAATCTAACTGGTGATCTTTTTGCAACTTTCTTCCATGGGGAAGCCATAGTTACTTAACAACCCTGTTATTAGTTTCACCACTGCAGCAATTCACTTACAAACGTAGCAAGGAAAGTCGTAAAACGGGGGAAAGCTCGCTTAACGAATTTCTCACCGAGCAACATACATTTTGGGTTCAATTGCGGTCGTAACCCGAGGACTACCTGTGTAAGGAAAAATACACACATCCCTAAAAACAGACCCCACAGGACAGCACTCACCTGAACATAGTGAGAACTTCACTGAGTGGCACAAAGTCCCGCCAGGGCATCTGATTCAGCTGGATGTCGCAGACCGATGGCGCACCGGGGCAAACGTCCATTTCTGGTGGGAGGACAATGGTCTTCTGGCCACTTTCCGCTTGGATAGGAATGGGAGACAGCTTGTTCCATGACCACATGCGTTTCGACTCCACCACTTGGGCGTACACCGTGGCTCTGTGAGGCACTGCCTCACATCCCTCCTTTAAGGACGAATAGGAAAGAAATCAAATAAAGTTCATACGCTTTGGGAGAAAAGGCAGCAGTGACACGAACGGCTATCCTAAAAATAACAACTAGGCAGAAAACTGACTTTCAGGGATTTCAGAATCAGGTCTAGCCCAGGGGTAGGCAACCTTGGCTCTTTTATGACTCTTGGACTTCAACTCCCAGAATTCCTGAGCCAGCCATGCTGAGGGGAAAGGGAGAGGTTTCCAAGCTGAGCCATGCTGGCTCAGGAATTCTGGGAGTTGAAGTCCACGAGTCATAAAAGAGCCTGTCTGTCTTTCTACCCACCACAGAACACAGGTGAATGTATCTTCTCTGGTCTGGTTCATTCCTCACCTGTACAAGATGCTTGTGAGCGTGCTCGTAAGATGGCAAGGCCCCTTCCCCAATTAGCTCGGTGTCAAACAGCTCTGTTATCAGGATGTTCGCACGAGATTCCATGTCTCCGTCTGGAAAACATAAGACAAAACTGGCATCAACAAGTGACTCTGGAATTTTGCTTGGAAGACTCCCAAACAAACTTGTTTTTAGGCTTTTCTACTAAATTTGTTTGATCTCAAAGCATACAGGTAGTCCTCGACTTACAGCCTATATGCAGCAGAAGGCCCAGGAAAAAAAAGATGCAACTTTAGCAATTAGCAACTGGCAATCAGAGAGAGAGAAAAAATAAAATATTTCTTAGGTATGGCATTCCACTGAAGTACACAGTGCCAACACAGCAATCTTATTAGTGCTAGGATGATATATATATATATATATATATTTTCTCCCTGAACATTTTGTTTAAGTAGTCCTCTAAATTAATTGCATTTTTAAAAAATATTTTCTTGGACTGTAGTTTGGCTTTGTATAATTACATTCTGCTTTATGCACACCCTCTCTTTTTAAAAAGAGAACAAGTAGTCCTTGACTTACAACCATGGATTGAGTGACCGTTCAAAGTTACAGCACAGAAAAAAAGTGACTTATGACCATTTTTCACTCTTGTGACCGTTGCAGCATCCCCATGGTGACATGATCAAAGTTCAGATGCTTGACAACTGATTCGTACATATGACGGTCACAGTGTCCCGGGGATCTTTTTGCGATCTTCTGACAAGCACGTCAATGGGGAAGCCAAATTTACTTAACAGCCGCATTACGATCCTAACTGCAGTGACTCACTTAACATTTGTGGAGAGAACGGTTGTAAAATGGGGCAAAAACTCACTCATCAACTGTCTTACTTAGCAATGAAAATGTTGGGCTCCGTTGTGGTTGTGAGTGGAGGAATATCAATACACACAAAAAAAATATTCTGCTCTCTGTAAATCAAGACACGGAATCCCCAGTAACTTTACCTGATCCCACGGTGACTTCGGTCGAATGCTTGTTAATTATCTTTATTTTGTCCCCAAAGCCATTCTTTTCCACTATCTTCATAGCTGTGAGGGCCATTGGCTTAAAGACCTGCAGTATAACAATCCTTGCTATTTATACAATGTATTGCAACGGTTCGAGACGCTATTTATTTAAATCTGTCAAGGCCGCCCGCTCCAGTACTCTGGGCATCCATAATGCATTTCAACATGCCATTTGTATTACCTCATTCATTTTAAAAAGCTTTCCAGCAGGGCTGTGGAGTCGGAGTCGGAGGAAATTTTGAGTACCTGGAGTCGGAGTCAGAGTCGGCAAACAATGCACTGACTCCGACTCCGGTTCATATAGATAAGCTTTGTTTTTGTTCTAAAACAACCAAATAATGTGGTTTGTATTTTTGAACTGGTAAAGTTCCTGTTCCTGATGTTTATGCCTGCTGCTACTATCCAGCCACTTGATTAATTAAATTAATAAAAAAAAATTAATAAAACTTTGTTGTTTTCATTGTGTTTGCCTTTTGCTTAAACTGTTCAATACAGTAGACTGTTGGCTTCCCAGCCAGTAGTCCTGTGGTAATGACATGTATGTTGCCTTTCTTTCCTTCAAGGAATGTATAAAATACATTCGCATATTAATACAGAGGAGTCGTAGTCGGAAGTACAAAAAACTGAGGAGTCGGAGTCGGAACATTTATCTACCGACTCCACAGCCCTGCTTTCCAGTGCGGAGCTGTCATTTGGAGTGGAATGTCTAGGACAAAAAGTGAGGGCTGGAGGAAGCACCTTTTGTCACGTAAATCCCTGAGTTTTTTGAGACAGTGAAGAGATTTTGCTGCTTGCCCTCCTGTGGATTTTAAAAGTCCACCACTCTAACGCAGGGTCTCCGAACTTGGCAACTTTTAAGACTTGTGGACTTCAACTCCTGGAATTCCCCAGCCAGCAGAGCAGAACTGGCTAGGGATTTCTGGGAGTTGGAAGTCCACAAGCCTTAAAGTTGAAAGTTTGGAGACCCTTGCTCTAATGGACTTGGCTTTTCGTTTCTAGCTTCCGAGCTTCATTTCAGCCTTTTCTCATTCCTGGTTCAGACTAAAACTCCCAGATTTTCCCCAGACCACTAAAGACCAAGCTAGATGAGGATTTGAGAGGTCCAATATATCTGGAGGGCATCCAGTTGGAAAAGGCTGAGTTGGATGAACAGGAAGTTGCTTCTCTGGGCCCAAAACTTAGATGTCTTACAGTATTTTTACTTCTCTCGTTCTTGTGGAATGCAAAGAGGAAGGAGATACTGGGGAAGCTCCATTTGAATGGTTGGTCCTAAAGAAATTCTATAATCTTTTATATTCCTTATTAGAGAGAAACCTTCATTGAGCAGAACAATATCTAGGCGAGTGTCCGGTTTTAAGAACATCTTACAAATTCACTGCTCAGACTGGAGCCAGAATCTTCTTTGATACAGTTTGATGCCACATTAACAAGAAATCATTCTACTTATTCTTTTTTTTTTTTTTTACATTGGAGAAGGTTGCCCACTTACTCCTCTTTGTCAACTTGCAAAAGCTGGATTAATTTTTTTGCATTGACCTGGCCAGTCAAAACAAGGCAAATTACGACTACTTAGCAAAAGTGTTTTGACTTTGTATTCTCAAGGCCACAAAGCTTCTGTTTATATTAAAGTATGCATCTAATTAATGAATGACAAAATAAAATGCTTGTCGCATTCCAAGCTGTCAAGAATGCTTCCTTTCCTGCCAAAATGAAAATGTGAAACTCAAAGTCGAGGAAAAGTACAGATAGCTACAGATCCCTGTGGGCCAAGAAATCTTTCATTAGTCAATGGCTTAATACAAAAGCTAGCCCAACCTGACTTTGTCCCTATCTCCTCAAAACACAAAAATTCCTACCTATAATCAGAGCCTTATTATTATTTCAGCGTCATCAAAACACAGAGGTTTTCTTGGAAGCCAGCCAAGCATTAACTAAGTGTATGCATGCTAATAAGCAGACTCTAAAGTGGGAAAACAAATTGCACAGTTTCAGGCATCTGTGGACGAATCCACTTTTTGAACCCCTAGGGTTTCTTTTTTTTTACACAAAGGAGGAAGAAGTTGATGTTTCACAACTATCATAACGTTTGCAATCCATTCTGTTGGATGCAAATACAGTTTTCTTATATGTAGAAATGTGTCTTTGTTAACTACGAGACAAAGCAATTGCTGGATAGGAGATTCAACTAAATACCAGCAATTATCAGCTGGAAAAACAGAGGGTCTAAGATATTGACGTTCACAGACAAGAAGTCTTATTTAGATATTCCTTTACCCTATTGTGCAAAATTCAGCACAAAAACTTTGGCATGGATTTTGTAGGGGGGAAAAATGTGTACACCTTTGGATAAAGATTGCTCGAGAAAATATTGGGAGAGGAGATAAAGTGCTCCCTATTTTAACCCCTCTATCTCCTTAGTTAAGGGAGTTAATCTCCTTAACTAGTTAAACCTCCTGATTAAAATGGATCCTTGTGTGATGTCTGCCCTCTGGGCAATGATAAAGAATGCAAGTTAGATGAAGTGCTTAAATCAACTCTTCAAATCAAAAACAGAATCACGGAAGCTATGTTAAAATAGGAACAGTAAGCAAAACAGAATGAGGTCTCCGAAAGCCTGGGGCTTAGGCATCCAATGGAACCATCAGATCATTATTTTTTTAAAAAGGAGTTATGAGTAGAAAATAATATTTAACATTTAAATGTAACCCAATAAAAACAAGCTGAATTTTTATCCTGGTCCCACTCACTACTTTTCAACATAATCCCCAGCCTAATGTTTAATTGTGGCCTTGGACACAGGGGAAAAAAATTGTGCATCCATGTATTAAAATATCAGTTGGGTGTACTGGATGTACTAAAAAGACTGCAGTGACAGAATACCAAGGAAACTAGACTCTATAGCAGCTTTCGTTATCCCACCTATTTTTTTTATATCCTGATTAGCAAGACTCCTGAACTTAGGCACAGTAGGGCTTTGTCATTTACTACAAACGCTTTCCAACATTTTCTTCTCTTTATTGTTTGCAAGAGTAACGTATTTGATGCATCACATTTTTCAGACCGGTATGTGATTACCTTTCTTCAAGAGTAGGTATACAGGTACAGCAGAACAGTCTGCCTTTCAAATTTGAAAATCAATGCATATCCAAAGTGAGACGGCTCTAGTCCAGGACCGCAAGAAAATCAATTAAACGCTGGGATTCACGAAGAATGCTCTGGAAAGCAGAGCATTCATAAAGCATTGTCAGGACCTTGGAGAGCTCACTAGAGGAAGTTACAGATTGGGTAGTCTCCCAATAAAAAAAGGCAGCTCAGCATTTTTGGGATCAATGGGGTTTTTTTAGAAGGCTGGCAGGAACAGTAGATGCGTTTAGCTTAGTTCTTTCCTGCTACATTATCTATTTATTCATATATTCACACATACATAGGTACTACAGTTGGGACTAGAAAAATGTCATTAAATCGAGGAGTACCTGTATAGGAGGGTCATCTTCTGAGTAGTTCAAATCAAGACCTCGACTTGATGACTATCAATTAACAGGAAGGCTATAATCTGAGGCTTGAATGGCAAAAAGAGAGGATGCTGATGGCCTCTTTTGAACGAGAGTTTAATTCTGAGTTCAACACACTCAGAATCTGCAGGGTTTTGCTCAACATGTATCCCTAGAAACATGGCAAAGGATTCTCAAGCACTATGCTGGCAACAATAAAGCAAGGATGTAAACCCTGTTAACAGTCATGCTACGAGAAACACTCAAGAATATGTGGGATGGGCAGAGAAAAGAACTTAGCTTAATATGGAACGTGGCAGAACAAACGACGTTTGTTTCATTCACGTAGTCGAGAACTGACTCCTGCTCAATTGATCCGCGTGGGTTACTCACAGACAAGGGAGAAGGATGCTCACCTCAACCCCATAGCAGAAGTCAGCCCCTGCTGTCACTGCCATCATGGACAGGAGGCCAGTGCCAGTCCCAATGTCCAGGACAATGGCTTTTTCCCCTCTCTCTTTCACTCTGCCAACTGCAGCACGAATACCTTGAAAATACTTGACATTCTGTTAAAAGAAAGAAGGATCCATTATTCCAGTGTGTTCCTACGATGGGTCTGGGATCTGTGAGCATTTGCAAAACAATGGATTAAAAGGTAAACTTTCTGAAAGATGCTCATTATGATTCCAGATGTGGCTATATCAGGCCTATGGTACAAAAACTAGCTCAAAAAATCTGAAATTCAAAGTTTCCAATAATTGTACACAGACACCTGAAAATAAGAAGTCAATCCACCCCCACCCCCAAATACTTATTACTTTTTTCATTAGAAATTATCAATGTAATTTAGACAATTTGTTTGTTTTTTTTGCCTCACAATTGGAGTGTGGAAATTCATGGAACTACATAAGAAATGTCAACATTTTTTAAAAAAAATATAGGTAAAACAAATAAATAACTTACTCGGTCCTTGTCATTCAACATATCTGCATAGCAGGACCTGTAAATAAGATAACCTTTATTGTTATTTTTTTACTGTGGGCACAACGGCACACATCAAAAATGAAATTTAGTTGCCCGCTCTCAAAGTGAAACACATACATGACACACACCTAAACATACTATGTACAACATATGTATAGACCCACCCCCCTACATATACATAGCAAATAAAATAAAATTCAGTTTTCAGCTCAAACACAGTACAGATTCAGAGAGCTATCAAGGAGCGGCAATATTATCAGAAAAGAGCTAAATAAATGACAGAACGAACAATTTCTGTTATGGCATATTACCAAATACGCAAGCACAATGACTGCACTACTACTTATAAAATGACAGGGGAAAATGTCGCATTTATGCACAGAACCCTCTGAAATAATGCACAGGAAATGGGACTCGTGCACAAAAATGGATTGGATCAAAATCAAGAGTGGGAGAGGATGTATCCTTAGATAACCCGATTCAGAGCTCTAGGAGGCCTCAACCAGCACCCTGAATTGCACCTAGAAGAAAATGACCCATAGTCTCAAAACAGGGGGTCAGCCACTATTATCCAGATGTACACATCATTGTCTAGACCACCCCAATTTGCATGAAGTGTAATTTCTGAATGCTTTTCAAGAGCAGTGCACGTAGACCCACGGGTCTTCTAACTTGGCAAGTTTAAGACTTGTGGACTTCAACTCCCAGAATTCCTCAGCCAGCCCTGTCAAATCTGTCTCTCCAAAAGTTGTCAAGAAGTTCAAACAAAAAGGTTTCTATGCTGTATCCTGGCCTGAAACAAAGCTGCCACTGTGCTATGTTGAATTATATACTAACATTATGTTTAAATATATATGTATATATACATATCCCAACAGACCTTGCTATTTCCTGGTGGTAATCATAATTCTCGTCTTCCTCTAACCACTCCATGGCTCCAGTAGTCGGATTGGCTCTTCCACAGAAAACCTTCATGACCCTCTGTTTTATTTTGTTATTTGTGAGTACAGTTCTTTTTAACCCAGTTCCTATCTTTGGATACATACACTAAAACCTATTGCAACAAAAAAGAAATTGCAGTTTAGGAAATGATGTGTACAACCAAAATGTGCCATTGTCACGTCAAAACAAAGCTTTGTGGTCTTCTGGGATGGGATTTACCCCAAGAACTGAAAAGAATGACCTAGCAGCTACATTTATACGCGTATATGGTGGGGCTGCCCTTTACAGGTAGTCCTTGACTTACAACCATTTGTTTAGTGACCGTCTTAAACCTATGAAATGCGCGGCTAGGTCAATTTCATAAATGAATCAAAAAGAAAACAAAACTTGGATCAATTTGATTATCCGGCAGAAATCCCCTCCCCTGAAATATTTGTTTATTTAATAATCTTGTTAAATAGGAATGGGAAAGCTTATAAACTATTGGTAGACCCACTATGTGAAGGGCTGGAGAATTTATTGGGTTTTGGTTGTTTTTTTCCAGCAACCAGCCGGGGTAGATTCTATATGTTTAATATTAAATTTATTTGATCCTTGGGTCGATTTTTTTTTCCTTTTCTGTACACCAATCTTTTTTTCCCTTTTTTGTTGTTAGTGCTGGATGTCTTGTTTTGTTTTTTTGTTTTCTGCTTTGTATTTTATTTTTGTGGATAAAACGAAATAAATATTAGAAAGAAGAAAGAAAATCAAACTTTACAGATTCAGCAGAGTTTCATTTAAGCTTGTTTTGAGGGTGAGGAATTCTGCCCGTGCCCATACGCCCGGCTTTTCTGGACGACTGTTTTCCTCTTGGGTCACGGAATGAACTCCGCACATGCTCAGAGGCACGGGGGGCGGCAAAATGGGGAAGGCGAACCGAGCTGCCTTCTCGTCCCCTGGTGAGCCAAAGCGCTTAACTACCCTGCCCGGGGTGTGAGTGGGGTGAGGGGGAGACATTTCCCACGGGAGCCCCCACCCGACCGACCCACGAGCTCAACCGCCCGCGTTTCACTCACCGGGCGCCGCCATCTTCCCGCCATGCAACGCGCGGAGCTGCCGCCTGGCTGGGAAACCAGCCGGAGATTGGTGGGACCAAAGAGGTATCACAACACACCCCGCGTCATCACACTTCCGGTTAGAGGTGGACATCCGTCCAGGCGGGTCAAGAGGGGCGGAAATCGTGGCACGGTTGCTGATGCTCTGGGAGGGAGGATGATTGTCAGCATCCTTTCAAGTACAGAGAATTAGCAATGGATTAAAGTCGAAGATAAAGTTCAGGAGCCCCAATCTGGTGCAAAGAATAACAGGGAGCTTGGAGGTCATCTAGTCCAACCCCCCTGTACCGTTTCAGATAAATGGCTGTCCAGTCTCTTCTTAAAAACGTCCAGTGGCATCCACAACTTCTGGACGCAAGTCGTTCCACTGATTAATTGTTCTAACTGTCTCTTTAGTTCTAGGTTGCTTCTCTCCTTGATTAGTTTCCATCCGTTGCTTCTTGTCCTGCCTTCAGGCGCTTTGGAGAATAGCTTGACTCCCTCTTCTTTGTGGCAGCCCCCAAGAGTTCTCATTGCCTTCTTCTGGCATGCTTTTCAGCTTTTCCTTCTAGAGCTGTATGCAACGAAATTTCATTTTGATGTATGCTGATTGGTGTACATTCAAAGTGACAATAAAGTTGTTGTTGTTGTCTTTAGCACTGTGATTTTCTGGCGATCTCTCTTCTACTAACTAGGACTGACCCTGCTTGGCTTCCCAGTAAAGACTAAGCGGGTTGTTTTTGTTTCTTCCTAAATGACTGATAGCCTTATTCTTTTTTATCTTCTTGCTAACTGCACCGAGGTTCTTCCGAAAGAAGGGCAAAGCCGCACCATTCAAATTCATAATACATCAAACTGTTGTTCCCTGGAAGAACCGGACATCGAGGTAGGGAATCATTTAGACCTCAGTCCCTCGAGGAAGCGGCGATAGCGTCATCAGACCGGGCGGCGATTTACGTCATTGGGAGTAAGCCGCCAATCTGCGGAGGGACTGGCCGGCACGGCAAGCGGAGCGGGGAAAGTTCCCATAGTCCCTTGCGCGTAGAGCGGCCTGGTCTGGTTGCCATGGAGACCGGCGCCGTGCTGCGCGTGAAGAGAAAGCGCGGAGGCCCTTTGCCGGCCGAAGCGCTGGTCCTTGCCTGCAAACGCTTCCGCCTTGAGGCTGGGGCCGCCGCCGAGGCCTCCTCCTCCTCCGCCGCCGCCTCTTCGCCCGGAGAAGGTGAGGTGGAAAAGACGCTCTTCAAGTTGGTAGCCACCGTAAACTCGGAGGTGAGGCCTCGCGTGTTTTGGCTGGGGACGTTAACAAAGAGATTAAATGTCTATTTAATCATCGTTAATTAATATGTCAGCTGCTTAAGCGCAGCGGAGTGGGGCATTCTGGGAGTTGAAGTCCACAAGCCTTAAAGTCGTCATGCTGGCTGGGGAATTCTGGGAGTTGAAGTCCAACACTGATCTAAATAAAGGTCGTTCTTGACTTACAACAACAATTCATTTAGTGACCACTCAGAGTTACAACGGCAGTGAAAAAAAGTGACTTATGACCATTTTTCACTCTCATGACCTGTTGTAGCATCCCCACAGTCACGTGATTTACATTCAGATGTTTGACAACTGGCTCATATTTATGACGGTTGCGGTGTCTCCCGGGGTCACGTGATCCCCTTTTGCAACCTTCTGACAAGCAAAGTCAATGGGGATTCACTTAACAACGGTGTTACTAATGTAACAACGGCGGTGATTCGCTTAGCAAATGTGGCAAGAAAAGTCCTAAAATGGGGCAAAACTCACTTAACTGACGTCTCACTGAGCAACATGAATTTGGCATTCAGTTTGTGGTCGTAAGTCGAGGACTACCTTCATTACTAAATTTTTTTATTCTTGTAACGTTTCACTGGGCAAAATATAGTGTACTTTAAACATTAAATATTTAAACATTTTTTTTTCTACAATTAAGTATGAAAAGGCTAATTTGGAGGAAAGGATTTAATAATTTAGAAACCTTATATTAACAGGGTTGATGTTGTATGTATGATTCCATATACAGTGTGTGTGTGTGTGTGTGTGTGTGTGTGTGTAAGTAGGTAGATAGATGATGGATGGATGGATGGAGAAATGGATGGAGAGATGGAGAGTTAACAGGATGAGATATTGGAGAAGGTTCCAAATACACCCATTTTGCACTCTCCGGAATTATGAGTCAAGATTTAATATGTTTATCTTGAATAGCTGTCTTTTTCTATTGGAAAACCCTAAAGGGGTGAGAGAAGAGATTATGCCGAGTGGGCAATTCTGGGGGTTGAAGTCCACGCACCTAAAAATTGCCAAGGTTGAGAGACATTGCTCTAATCCAAGGCGCTAACTGAACTTCTTGAAATTGTCTTTAGGCCGAACCTGTTGACAAATACATACGGGAAGCTTTTACCCAACAGAAAGGAGGCCAGATCCTGCGACCTGCTCTAGGGAGTGCTAAAAGAATAATCCAGGATCTCCGTTCTTCAAAGCAAGCCAAAAGGCAGGAAAGCCGATACCGCTTAATCACTAGCCTCCGTCCAAATCTCAGTGATGGGGAAAATGCCGTTCTCGGAGCAAACGAGAAAGAATCCGATGAAAAGAAACCATCTTCCATATCTGAGAAAGACAAAAACAACAGCAGCTCAGGCTTTCAGTTCTTTGATATTATACAGGAGGAGGATGTGGAAAATGATACACCTGCTGCCCCTTTACAGGTTAGTACTAAGTCCTGGACCAGCAGAAGTCTGCATTAAAGTGGGATAAGCCATTGATGCAAAGACAGTGACAAGATCCCAATTACAAGCCGACCCATAATGTATCTTAGGTTTAGAATAATGTTTTTTTCAACAGGATCTCTCAGTCTTATACAGTCTGTCTCATAATCTTAGATTGCTTATGGAGTTCATTTGTGAGTCCTGCTGTAAATGCATTGGACATTATTATGTGGTCACACCTGTTTTTAACTGCAGGATTCATATCCTGGAATATTTGCCATAAGAATTGAAGCCAATTTCCTCACTATGGTCCAGGATGGGACTCAAAACATACTCCTTCATAACAGTCTTTTTAATGGTTTTCATTGCATCAACATTTTAAAAAAAATAAAAATGATTTAAACAGAAACGAAGAATAATTGCAGAAATTTAAAATATGGTGTGAAATATTTCAGTAGCAATTAGCAGTTGGGGAAAAAAGGAAGGAAAAGGAGGATATTTTATTTTTTCCTTACCATTTTTGTTTTATTTTGCCTTTATCACTAAATCAAATCTCATCTTTAACATTTTTTACTTTTGTGATAGCGATAATATTAATTATAAATAAAAATATAAATGTGTTAAGGATTCCATTGTTTTATATGTATATACTGTATGTATGCATGTATTTATGTATTCTATTCCTTTTTATTCCTTTAATTAAAAATATGTTTAATGTGTTAATAATCTTTTAAGTGTTGCTTTGTGTTCTATTGTTTTAGCTGCATGTTTATAAGCTGTCCTGAGCTGTTAAGGGGGTGGCTATTATACAAATATTATTAATGAATAATGTGGTTTGTTTGGTTTGGGCTCCATTGTGAATCCAGCTATTACAAAACTCACAGATAATATTTCCAGTAATTGATCAATGAAAGAAGTTGCCATAAGTTGCCCACGTTTCCAGGCATGCCTAGGTCAAACTTTATGGTTTAAAAGCAAGTTCTAAGAATAGCAAGAATAACCCAGAACAAAGTGCAGTGTGTGAACCAGGCATCAATTGTGTTGCAACAGTCTGCTGCACTTTGAGTTCAGATAGCCGTGGGCTAAAATACCTTTTGATGTTATACCACCTTTATGGTGTGCAGCACTCCTCCAGCCACAACAGCCTCTTCATCCACTTGAAAAGCAAATAAGGGACAGTTCCACATTATCTAGAGAACATCAACAGGGAAAACCCGGCTAAAATTTTGCAGTGTCTGTCGGTGCAATGTCCTCAAGCTGTTATAATTGTGACATTAATGCAGATGTCGTCCACGAACCCTGGTATTTGAACTTTCTAAACCATTAAGTTGGACCCTAATAGGTCTGGTAATTTGGACAAGATATGGCAACTTTTCATTGACCAGTTACTCAAAATATTATCTCTGTGTTCTGGGTTTTTTTTAAAGTACATTTTACCGAGCTTCTGGTGTTATTAAAAGATCAAATACTGTAGTGAGTGGACACCTGATAGTTGGTCCTTAAAATTATATATTTCTAGCCTCACGTACCACTAAATAATAGCAGTCAAATAGAGTGCAGAAGTTTTATAAAAAGGCTTCTTGGCAAGTTCATATTTGGACATGACAAAAATATAATAAACGTGAGACCAAAAGATCAAGTAATACAAGGATTGCAGCTTTTGGCACCACAGGTTTTTTTTTCCTCCCACTTCTTCTGAATTACAAACTGTACCTACATTGGCATTAAAACTAACATTAAAAATGAAGCGTTGTGTTCTCGTGGGTCCTTTTATCAAAATTGGTTTCACTTAACACAAAATGGTAAAAAGTCTTGTAACTTTTTGTTAAGAGATTCAGTAACAAGAAAGAAACTGTGTTGCCCAATTACTGCTCCATAAAATATTTGCTCACAAAAGGGAAAGAAATTGTTTATTTTTAATGTTACCTTTTTTTCCAACTTAGTTTTAAGTCAAGGAATATAGTGTACTTCAAACATTAAATATTTAAACATTTTTTTTCTGCAATTAAGTATGAAAAGGCTAATTTGGAGGAAAGGATTTAATAATTTAGAAAGCTTAATATTAACAGGGTTGATGTTGCATGTATGATTCCATATACAGTGTGTATGTGTGTGGAAGTAGGTAGATAGATGATGGATGGATGGATGGATGGATGGATGGATGGATGGATGGATGGATGGATGGATGGATGGAGAGTTAACAGGATGGGATATTGGATAAGGTATACATGCGGTTGTGGGTTGACCAAAAATAAAGACAGGATAACATTCTAATAAGTTCTCTCTTTTTTTTCAAAAAAAAAAAAAGTTCTTTATTGACTAAAAAAAATGTACATCTTAACAGAAACCACATCCGGATGTGATCCTTTGCAATGCTGTAGAGATGATTCGTGAACGTTTAACAGTATCTGACAACACTAAAGAGGCAGAGGGTTGCTTAAATCAAGAAGAATATGTCTATGATATCTACTGTACGGAAACAGCTGCTCCAGGGTGGATCGAGAACATTCTCTCCGTACAACCTTACACTCAAGAGTTTGACTTGGTAAGTAAATCAGAAATAGCATCTCCTAAGGCAGACATGTCAAACGCGTGACGTCGCGAGACGTATCGGAGCTTTTTCCCCATTGGCGGCAATGGGGCGGGCGCGGTTTCCTCGTGACATGTCCGGTCCATGGGCTGGCAATTTGACACCCCTGTCCTAAGGGATGTAAAATTTAGGGAGGCTTGTTTCTTTCCTCCTTGTAAAACATGCTGAATTTCATAACTTAGAAGTGATTCAACCTATAAAATAACAAGCAGCTCCTGTACCTCGTTGCCTTATAAGCTTAAATTGCAGGTTCTTCTCATTCAAATGCCTCTGCCCTCAAGATTATGGATGCTCATATATCTTGTTTTTGCTTCGGTGATCCATGATAGGTGCTTGTTGTGTATTGTTTCTCAATGACAAGTGACACTGTGTGTTGAAATGCAGGGGGATGAAGAGCAGTTCCCCGAGGAGATCTATGAAGATGAAGATGATGAGAATAATGAGAACAACTGGCGTAACGACTACCCAGATGAAAATGAATTCCTTGATGAAGATGAAGGTGGTACTTGATTGATAATCGTATTTGTATACAGGTAGTCCTTGACTTAGAACCATTGGTTTAGTGACAATTCAAAGTTACAGCTGCACTGGAAAAAAATCTCCTTGCTCTTAAAGCCACTGCAGCATCTCCAGCCATGTTGTCAAAATTTGGGCGCTTGCTAACCATCATGTATTTACAAAGGTTGCCGCATCCTAGTCGCGTGACCACCATTTGCAACCATCCCAGCCAGCTTCCGGCAAGGAAAGTGAATGGAGGGGAAGCTCCTTCATAACATGCCAGAAGCGGTAATGTCTGGCCCAGTTTTATCTCAGTGGTGCTTTAACCTAGGGCAGTGATGGCGAACCTTTTAGAGACTGAGTGCCGAAACTGCAACCCAAAACCCACTTATGCATCGTCGAGTGCCAGATGGGTGTGGCCCATTGGCTGAGCATGGCCCATTGTGTGGGCATGGCTGAGATGGTAATGGCAGACTGGGTGGGACTAAAAAGTTCAATCAATTCCAACTTTGCAAGATCTTTTTTTTTTCCCGGGAGAAGTTGAAATTGACTGATTGAATCTTTTTTTTTTTGTACATGGCGGCGGAGGCCTAAAGCGAAAAGGTTTTATAAAACCCAGCTGAAGACCTAGGACTGGGGCGACGGCGCACGTGCCCACAGAGAGGGCTCTGAGTGCCGCCTCTGGCACCCGTGCCATAGGTTCGCCACCACTGACCTAGGGGACAATCAGCAGGAAAAAAACGTGAATAATCCAATAAAACGTGTAAGGGTACAGGGTATTTGTCCCTTTCCCAGTTTTAGTTTCTGCCATTAGTCTCTCATTCCACGGAAAAGGAAAAACGATCCTTAAAATGAACGAAACAGTAATAAACTTATTTTTTTGTTTTGGAGCAAAGTGTAAGAAAAGGAGTTGAGATACCGTATTAAAAAGACGGCCATAAATAACCAGGAGAAAAAAAGACTTCCAAAATCATTCCAGACCATCATCAAATTTGCTTTTCTGTTTTCTTCTAGAATCAGAAAAAAACAGCGGGGATACCAGTGATGAAGATTGTGGACGTATCAGGCGATCGTGGGAGAAGTATGAATCTGAAGTCCTGCGGGAGTGTGAATATGACGGAATAAAGGAACTGGATTCTGAGTAGCTTGCAGGATCTTTCCTATTCACGAGACCCCGTGTTGTGATGCGGCCGTTAGAAATTGCGGCACCGCAACCCTCACTTGTCGTGCTGTTTTGGCCAGAGCATCTTCAAATCGAGAGAAAGCGGATTGCCTTTAGCGTACACAGTCTTCGAAAATGAAGTGATGCAAATGATATTGGCAGTTTTTTGGATCTCAGCCGTGGCGTTGTACAAGTAAAGCCTGACATTAAAAGACAAGATTTGCCATTGGGGGATGCCTGAGAGCTCCTTTTGACATTGAAGGCAGAGGTTTCCAGAAAAAAAAGTCTCCTAAAAAGATCATTTTTACTATAAGACTGGAAATGTTGTTACCTTATTGAAGCAAATTGTTTGTTTTTGCAAGCATTGTTGGATCACTGCCTGTAGATAGATCTATACTTGAAAATAATTGTTCGGATTGGAAGTCTCTGCACCTTAATATTCCTAGTTGCCACGTATAAATCGTTGATAAACTTGACATATAAAAACACTTAAGTTATCCTTTTATTGTTGTATACTTTTATTATTAAGATACCCGCCTTGACGCATCCCTTTACTTTTGGGTCCAGGTTAGTGATATTTGATCATTCTCACTTCTCTTTGCATCGTTTACAAACGTAGTAGTTAAAATATACAGAATTTGAAGTTTACCTGACCTTGTTTCCTCTGTGGAAATTCTGTGAAGAAAAATATTTTTAACCAGCCATTATTATTTAGCTGATGTTTTCCTGCATTCTTTAGCTGTTTATGGTGGTGCCCCATCACTGGAGGTTTGTTTGGAATGGTATAGGGTTTCCTGCTTGAGCAATAGGTTGGACTAGAAGACCTCCAAGGTCCCGTCCAACCCTATTATTCTATGTTCTATGAGTTTATCAAATTAGCCAATTAGTTTTGAGTGAAGTGCTTACAGTTCATAGATCGTCCATCCCCTTGACCTGGTCCTATAATAGGTGGGGAGGAAACGGAAAAGCAGCATTTGCCAACCTTCAATTACGTAAGGATTTTTTAAAAATATAAACAGTCAAGCAGAGTGTATTGACTATCTCCCTCCTTTCAACCTAATTGTGGGATCTTTGGTTGTTTTCTTGCAGACCTTTCATTACCCAACTAGGTAACATCATCAGTGCTAGCAGCGAGTGGGGTTGGCTCTCATTTTATATACTAGTAACTAGTGGCTTGTCCTGTCAGTGTTGGGGGGGAGCGGTCCATTGGGTTGTTGTTGATCTAATTCTAATGATCTAGAGCAGGGGTAGGCAACCTTGGCTCTTTTTATGACTCGTGGACTGCAACTCCCAGAATTCCTGAGCCAGCCATGCTGAGGGGAAAGGGAGAGGCTTCCAAGCTGAGCCACGCTGGCTCAGGAATTCTGGGAGTTGAAGTCCACATGTCATAAAAGAACCAAGGTTGCCTATCCCTGGACTAGACCTAGGGCCTGCTCCATTCCCCTGTGACACCCCTATGCTCCTTACTTGGGACTTCCACCACTTCTCACTTAACACACGTCTTGGAGTCACAACCGGGACTGCTGGGATTGTTGTCGCTAAGCTATGCAGTCATGTGACCTTGTAACCCAAGAACTAGCTATAACTATCATCTTTTCTTCAACAATGTAACTGCCATTTAGGCAGAAGCAAGGTAGAGAAGCTGATCTGTACCAGCCCCTACTTGGAAACTAAAAACGATGACTTTAGCGTTATAGAATTATGGGTCCAAACTTTACAATATCTCTCTGTACCTAATAGAATGGTACATGAACTCTTTGCAATTATTGGCTGCAGCTAAAGCAGTAGAGATACTCTACTACTCTCTTTCAGTTTGAGTTTGCCTTGGGTAACTTGGATACCATCTATGCAATTTTCTTACAGGACTGCTTAAATTAGCTTCCAAATAAGGTCACCTAGAAAATCGTTAGTATTAATGAAACACAAGTTGTCCCATCACAAACTGATTCGTATTCTCATTCTTTTATTTCCACATGGTGGAACTTTAATTTTTCCCTTTCAAAGTTCTTGTACATACAGGAACTACAGAATTTGCTGTTGTGACAACTACCGTAATTGACCTAGTCAAGAGATAAAACAGTTCAGTTCTCCTGTAAAATAAAACGCATTTTAACAGCAGAATGGAGTATAAAAACAATTCAGGGTCGAGTTTAAAATTTAATGCCACGCTGTTAAACTAAATAAAACATGCTTTAAGGGTTTATTGGCGACAATTCTATTGCACTATGAAACCGAAACCTAATTAAAAAGCACCAAGATAAATGGATGTAGTACATTTTCAAGACATTTTTGATCTAATGCGGTCGATTCAAATCACTTGATTTCCATAAAGACTGAGAAACAAAGCTTCTTCACAATGTTGCTTTCTGGGTTCTTCACCAATACAATAAATACCACACCTCGTTTCTAAACAGGTGGTCAGAGTGGATTATAACTGGATTCAAATCCCAAAGCAAATCCAATTCTTGATTGAATAAAAAAGGAATAATTACATGAACAGATCTATGTATTTCTTTTAACTCACTACCTTCCATTTATAATATTATGGACTTAAGAACACAGTACCAATGATTTTGACAATTAAGCTCTGGAAACGTAACACAGACTATACATAAAGTTAGGTATTTAAAAGTGAGCAAAACTCACAACTGATAAAGGAGCCTCTCCTAAACTGAAATCCATCGTGTGAGTACTTAACGTTTTTAATTCTTTTAGCACCCATCAGTTTACCAGATTGCATACATAAGAGAAGCAAAGGGACATTGCTACCATTTTGCCTCTTTGCCAGGTCTGTGCCTCTGGAAACAACAAAAAGCCACAGAAAGACGCAACATGACATACTTTAGAGTGTCTGTTTGGGAGGTAAACATAAGATGCATGTTCTGAATTGATGGTGCTTTTCCTAACAGGGCACAAGCAGCCTTTTTCCAATACAAATTCATTTATCAATATTGGTTTGCAGCTAATAAGGTGGAAATGTCGTCCCAGAAGGAGAAGAGATAAATGGACAATCAAGATATTGATAAGTGGACTGTTGGACTACATTGGGCCTGAATTGCTGTCCTTAATCTTTGCCTTGTTTATACTAAAAACAAGTATAACGAAGTGAGAAACTGCATTTGCCACAGAAAACAGCTTAACCGTTTTCTCCCTATATCACTTTATAGGAACTATTTTTTCCTACTTGCATTAAAGAAAGTGCCTTTAAAAAATGTGCATTTTTAACCCTATGAAATCAGTCATACAAGAAGACCTAAAACAGGGGGTCTTCAAACTTGGCCCTTTTATGACTTGTGGACTTCGACTCCCAGAATTCCTCAGCCAGGCACATGTGCCTGGCTGAGGAATTCTGGGAGTCGAAGTCCACAAGTCATAAAAGGGCCAAGTTTGAAGACCCCTGACCTAAAAGAAAGCTTTAATAGCTCCTCAGGCTAAGTCCAACTATTGTGCTACCAAATGGTTCTGTATAAAATCCTTAAAATAATAGAGAGATGAAGCAGCATGAATTTCACTTGTCCAATGCCCAAAGTTGAGAAAGCCAAATGAACAATTGCAGTGCTTATTATGCTCAACTGCTTAAAAATGTTGGCTTTGAAGTCCTAGATTTAATACCCTATTGCATTGATTCCAATTTGAGCTACTCAAAATACACTTCCATCTAAACCTCTACTTTGATCCCAGCGATAGAAGTCAAGAAGAGATGACCACCAGCTTCTGGACATCTTGAGGATACGTGCGTGAACGAAGGATAGAGTTAAACTACTTCTAAAGATCAGAAAGCAGATAACCTGTCAAGATTTAATGATTTAACAGCTATGTAAAGATGTAGTGTAAGGTGGTTGAGGCAATGAAAGGATGATGCAGATGCAGAATCTGTGTCTGTGTCCCTTTAAGAGTAAGCAGGGACTGTATCCCTTTAAGAGCCTGAGTATAAAAGGGATTTTTTTTTGCTGGAGTTTCTCTTCTCGTCCGTTTGATTGCTGTAGTTGTTGTATATTGGAGTTTGCTGAATTATCACCACATGTATATATCTTATTTCTAGTGTGTATTTGTAGATAGTGTAATATAAACCACCATTTATACAAACCACTGTTTACTGTATTTACTCCTGGGTTACCTCAGCGCAATAAAACTGCATGCTCTGACTTCTTCCTAGCATATTCAATCACTTGGGTGAAATAGCTGGTCACAATCAGTAGTGCAGGATTAAACAACTGATTGCTTGGTAGAGCCGATGAAGCTTTCTAATTGTAGTAAGTTGGATAAGATATTTTTTGTGACACTAATTGTCTAACGTCCATACAGTCTCATCTTCGGGCACTTTGATTAAAAGACCTTTGATTTTGCTGCTTAAAAACGTTGAATTAAAAACCGTGGTGAATTTATGCCTGAGAATCCTGATGAGTTTTCTCGTTTTTACAAAACTTAACAAGCAAAAGGCAACCAAATCATGTCAACCGGATAGAATCTCCAAATCCAGACAGAAAATTTGGACTGCGCTGAGATATCCAGACTCTCATCCGGGCAGCTGATTGACCGAGTCCTTTTCCCCTCTTTAATTAGATTTGCTTTCTCCTTTTTCTTCAACAGCATCCATTTCTGTCAGAACACAGTAGCAAAGTAACTGAGTGGATCGGGTGACAGCACCTGGAGGAGGAGGAGGAGATTTGAGAGTGAATCATCTAATTATGAAAGATTATTTCAAAATCGAGTGGCTTGCTAAACCAAGATTGACCTTGGAACCTCTTAGAACAGAGGATGGTTCTGTTTGTATGCATCTGCTGCAAATCCAATCACCCAGTTTAATCTTTCCATAAGATGTGGATGCTGTATTTTTCCCCCCTTTAGTAACAATGTCTGCTTATCTGTTGAGCAGATATTACAACAGCCAAACATTTAACTGCTTGCAAAAAGGACAGAATTTCTCTATAATCTACCACCAACACAAGTTCCCCTGAGATGAACATTATTGCTTCCTCGGCTGACAGACACTAAATTTAACAGTGGACGTGATCTTTCCGTCTGCACAAAAATCTGTGGACCCAACCATACTGTTTCTTGCTTTCTTCTCTTTGTCAAAATGCAGGGGATGTCTCCTGAAAGTCAAGGTCTAAACCTCCAACTTAACATCTCCAGGACTATTTAAATGCAGAGCATCTCATTCTAGTCAGATGAAAGTTTGGGAAACGGCCAGTTACGCTGGAAGGAGAGGTCAAGCCAGGAACTAGCTTGGAATTGTTACACAGCTGCAGGTGTAATACGCTTGATCTCCCCCAAGTTCCATGAAGGGATCTGATCATTCCCAGTGGTAGGTAAGAAGTCTGGGGAGATT